AGTGGCACTGTAACTGTTATGGACAGGCGTGTAGCTTACCATCAGATACACGACTCGTACATCCCGTCACATGATATTATACAATAAAGGCAAATTGAGAACGACGTCTATTTTTGACGGTTAAAAAATGAGTTTCATTTTCGTTTCAAATTCAACTTCAACAATTCAAATTTTTTTTTCGTGTTTGAACACGATAAAAAGATTTGTGTTAAGAAATATTCTAATTATGAAATATAAAGGAGAATGGGCAAAATACAAGGGCCTTGGACCTGGAAGCGGCCACTTCAAAAACATAGTTTTTATAATTCTTTATGTTACGACAAACAATACTTAGTATGGAGTCAGAGTCGTATTTTGTGTGTAAAAAAAGTTATGACCAATACAATTGTCCAAGTAATAAATGAACACGTGTTACATTTTTGACAAATATTCCTTTGTCTACTGGATATTTCTATAAAATAAAACAATGCTTTGTGGAGTCATGCCGCCGGGACCTAAACTAGCCCCCCCCCTCCCTCCTACCCTCTTATGTGCACGTGCATCCAGGTGCATGCGTGTTTAATTAACTTAGTTTAGTTGTTTGTTGACTTGCTTCACTAACAACTGTTCTGTGCTGTCGATTCTTTGCTGATCCTCATAAGACCTTGATTACTGTTTACCGGACTACTGATTTTGCTTTGCGATTTGTATCGGTGTTGATTCTTGGATAACAACTAGGCTTGATCTTGGACATTCTTGTTTAGTAAAGTGGTGTGTGCGTGACTGAAATGGAAACTTGCATTACATGTCACGTTTCAGTTCGAAACAGAAGACGTTATTCTCTCTCACAAGAAGTTCTTGATGCTAATCCATTTTTAATGGATTACATTGGTGACCGCGTGGATCCTAATCCTATATTTGAAAATAGAAGAAACTACATCTGTCGCCCTTGCTGGCAAAGAGCTGAACGTGCTCAATCAAGAAACCAACCACAAGAATCGGCTCGTGATGAAATCTCGACAGATCAGGTCCCTGTTTCTATACCTAATTATTACCGTCTGCCAAACACTGCTTCACGTTGTTTGTTTCCGGGATGTGAATCAGAAACGCACTTGAGGATTCCACATCGCATTAAAACTAAAGTTTTTTGTGATCACAATATATACATACCTGACGAGGCTAGAATATGCCCAGAACATATACGATCAAACCATTGGGAGATATTAATTGGTTCGCCTATTTTATTAAATTCATTTACCATAGAACAAGTCACGGATGTATTTGAAATGGTTAAGAGATCTTTACAAAAGTCTGCACATTTTAATTTCGAAAATATCGAAAATATTGATGCTGATGAATTATTTTTCTGGACTGGAGTTACACCGGCGCAGTTTTAACAAATTATAGAAGAGACACCTTTATTGACTCAAAGGTGTAAACGACCTAAAGTTGCTCTGGGCATCTACCTTAGTAAGCTAAGAACGGGAGAGTCAAATACAAAACTGTCTGATCTTTTTAATATATCTCGACGCACCTTTGAGCGCTTATTAAAACAATCAAGAGAATGTTTAAGCAACGATTTTGTAACGCGTCACCTCGGAATTGACCATATTACGAGAGGAGAAGTAGAGAGGAGAAACCTTTTAATACCTAATGCTATTTTTGGGAATCCAGAATCTGAAGAAGATAGAAGATTAATCTTTATATTTGATGGCACGTACATTTATATACAAAAGAGTTCTAATTTTTCATTCCAACGTCTTACATACAGCTTACATAAGTTTCAAAACTTGCTAAAACCATTTATTATTACGTGTAGTGACGGATACATAATTGACGTAGTTGGACCTTTTGCGGCAACAACATCTGACTCAACTATTATGACACAATTAATGTCAGAAGACTCGGTATTTCATTGGTTTTTTAAAGCAGGGGATGTATTTATCTTGGACAGGGGTTTTAGGGATTCATTACCAGTTATTGAATCTTGTGGTTACACAGCTCATATGCCAGCGTCAAAGCAAAACAATGAAACGCAGCTCTCAACTAGTCAAGCAAACAAGTCGCGGCTTGTTACAATTTGTCGATGGGTAATTGAAGCCATTAACGGGCGTTTTAAAAGAGATTTTAAATTGTTACGGCAGAAGTATTTTAATAGGGCCGTACCACACATGTTCCAAGATTTTAAAAATGCCGCAGCCATTCTTAATGCTTTTCGGGAACCTTTTACCGATGGACCTTACGCAAATGATATATTAAATGAAATTCATTTGAAAATTAATGTAGATAACTTACTGGCCGACTACGTCATTAATAACAATTTAAATAGGCACCGTGTGAGCTTTGTTTCTATATCAGCTGATTATTTAACTATAAATGATTTTCCACAATTAGAAGAAAGAGATTTAATACTGTTTGCTTTAGGTAGTTATCAAATAAAGCTTGCTCGGTCGTATTGTAGCGAGCACTTACGAGATGGAGTGTACTTTATAGAAGTTATGGAAGATGAATCTATAGATATTCCGCAAATGCATGTAACTGGAGATTGCTATCTTTTGAGAGGACGTATTCAATCAAGACACACCAGAGCACGAGTATATTATGTACATATAGTAGTAAATAGGGAAGGCGTTGGAAGAGCGCGCATAATACAACACTATTGTACGTGCCTTACTGGTAGACGGACCTTGGGTTGCTGTGCTCACGTCATGTCGATTGTATGGTATTTAGGGTGGGCACGGCACCAAGGAGCTCTTAATCTTCCAGCATCATATTTAGATGAAGTGATAATAGACGAAGTAAATGAGTTTTGAAACAATATATTTTATTTTATTTCATATCTTTTATATTCCCTAAAAAATATTATAACAAGAAATACTGGACCAGATTCCAAAATTGTGTCATAATTCCACAGCTCACAGAACCCTTTTAAACTTAAGACAC